CACGGAGCGGCTGGGCCCGTGGGCCATGGCCGCTGAGCCTGCGCGTCCGGAGCCTGTGCTCCACAATGGGAGAGGCCGCACCAGTGAGAGGCCCGCGTACCGCAAAAAAAAAAAGAATACTACGAGATGAGAGATAAGGTCCCAATATGCTGGTATGGAAAGATCACCAAAATATAAAGAAAGAAGCTGGATACAGAAGAGCATATGGTATCCGTTTGTGGGGGGCTTTTACTTTTTACATTAAACTTTTTCTGAATCGTTTGCATTTTTAGCCATGTGCATATACAACTTTTAATTAAAAAAAAACACTTTGGAAAAATGTATTTCACATACAAGTTCAGTTAATGACAATAGCAGCAGCAGGAGACAAACATGTTATGATGGCACCCTTCCAAAACCTTTTTCCTGATATCAGGGATCATCTTGTCTGCAAGTAAAACTACCGAGAGCTTCAGTTTACTTGCAAAGCGCAGCAAACGTCTTCTCCATTTGAGAGATGAGAACTCTGGGAATATGTGTTCAAGGTCCCACAGCTCTTTTATAAGTTAACACAGCAAAATAACTCTTTTTACTTCATCATGCCAACTTCAATGTGTTGGTTTTTATTCAGTTATTTATAAAAACTGACTGTTGACGGCGCTGCCTGGGAAATTCTGTGCAGTGATGCTGATGTGTAACAGCAGCCCAGAATACCGAATACTGGATAGAGTTACTTTTCTATTTCAAGAAATTGTATTAAAGCCCATTTAATGCCTACAGAATGATTCTTATATATAAGAATGATCATTTCTAGTAATATTCAAACATGTCTACTTCACTGACAGCATTTATGGCCACTTCATATTTCTGTCATATTAATATGCCTTATGGAGCTGCCTCCCTAGATGAGCGGCTAGTCTCATTTTTTGCTAGGGAAAAAGGTATTTGGTGGCTCTGATGCACAAAGCATCCAGCCATAGTGCGCCCAGTCTGTACGAGTCAGAGGTAGGCTTTCAGCTTCCGGTCTCAGAAGCCTCACCTCGCGTGAGATTCTGTCACAAAATATTGGTACAATAAAATTACAATTGCAGAAATTATGAAAATACACCGAAACTAAACTATTGCCTAATAAATTAGAACAGGGATACAGTCTCAAAATCTCCTTTCTTCCCGTTCCTAAGGTTGGGCTGGTGGAACTTCATTCCAACTTCCTTCTAACTCTGAGACCTTCACCCTTGCTCTGCCCTTTACTTGCTTTGAGCATGTAAAGCAGTAACTTCTTTCCAACCTCCACAAAGACCCACTAGAGGCAGCCTGCACCTCCCCCTCCCTACACCTAGGCAGGGTGGGAACATTCCCACAGATGCTGAACACAAGTCCTCCGGAGGAAGAGCACAAGGGTGGCCAACCACAAGATATGTTTCCGTTCTTCTCAAATGTTATCATTTGCTCCTGAGCCACCTCTTCTCTCTTCCAGGCCAGGTACTGGTCATTATTAGGCACTCAAAACATGCTTGCCTAACAAGAAGTATTAGGCCCTCAGTATAAAGGAAATTAGGCCAGTAATGAGCAAAAGTAGGCTGAATCAGAGGAAATGAGGGCAGCCATTCTTCTGCCGCAGGCCATCAACATTCAGGGTCACGCAGTCTACCCACATTCTGTCATCAGGAGGAAAGGAAAAAGCCGCTGACAAAAACCTGTGGCTCTAGAGATTTCTGTGAGCTGTCTGCAAGGCTCATCTAAGTCATAATGCTAAATATACACTGTAAGAATGAATATGCCAAATATGAAAAACAACCTCCACCCTCTGGAGTGGGATAGTCTAGTGTTTGCAGGGTAATCCGCCTATCAGTTTTCCTTACAACCGAGGACATTATCATGCAATAATACCAGTGTCAGGCCAGAATGCCAGCCCCACACAACACACACCTTCTCCGCAGGCTGGGCTGTTGCTGCGATCACTGACAGTCGATCCTTCAAACGAGTATCTGCTTCCACAGAAGAATTGACTCTCTATTAAAACAGACAAGCAGGCTCATGAATGATGAACATTTACAACCCATATTAGTACAAATGGATTTTGCTCCCAGAATAACTTCTGTGTGGAACTGTTCATCAGCTTTAGCTGTATCAGGCTTTTTGCGGGAATTCAAAGCACTCTGTCTTCATGAAAATAAATGCCATGTGCTGATCCTGGCTTTCTGCCCCTTGTCTTCCTTCAACTTTGTAAACACTGTCAGAGTAGCTGTGTGTTTTTGTGCAATTACTCAACTTCTCTGTTCCACAGTTTCCTCACTGATAACATAAGGAGGTTGGACGGTTTGGCCACTAAGAACCCTCCCAGTTCTATAGTCCTGAGATTTCCATGGACTCTAAAAATGATTTAACATTTCTTAGACCAAGGGATACAGAAGTTCAGTGGTCTGTTCAGGGTCCCAGAATGTCCTTCATTCTATTTAAGATTCTAGTGCTCTTCTGTGGCCTCATCTATTCACACAAACAAGATTATTTCCATTTACGGGGTGGATCTAGAGGGTCTGGCCGTAGCCTTCAGCTCACCGCTCATAGGAGGATGGCACAACCTACTGGTGAGGCTCTGTGCAATTTCATCTTGAAGAAAGTACCGGTTTGTGCACAGAAAGCTGTCCTAACATCTCCCTCCTTGGGAAAAACAGAGCAAATCATTGCAAATCACTGAGGTGAAAGAGCAGTGATGGGATTAGAGCGGAAGCAGTGAACGGAACACTAACACCACCAATAGCTCTATTTGATTAAGAACATAAATTGCAATATAAACTCATTCCCCAAACTAAAATCTCACCTTTCTCAAAAGTGGTACTTTCTCTTCCCCCATCTTGTTCCCTTCCTCACAATGGAAGACACATCAACAATGTGGGTGCCCCAAAGGGGCCCCAGCAGCGCTGCACGCACGCTATGAAGCACGGAGCAGCACCGCAGCTTCCAGCTGCCAGACACTCAGCCCTGCAAAGGCTCAGTGTGACCTCTGGAGCAACTCTTTTTATTTGAAACTTCCAAAAGGCAAGCACACGGGATGAACTAGATTACCTGGGCCTTGACCAGGAGAGGCTTCAAACGCTCCAGAACTGCCTTCTCTACCTTATCCGCTAATTGGGTGGCAGAAACACTATTTAGAAATAAAACTGAAAATTAAAATCAAAAGCAAGAAAATATCCTCTTGTGCATATTTATTTACCACCCCAGGCAAAGGGAAACCGAATGATTATAAAAACTGTGGGGCCTCTCTAATTGTCACGGCCATATGAAATCCCTGGGGATCTGGTTAACTGCAGATTCTGATTCACTTGGTCTGAGGGAGGCCTGAGAGTCTGCATTTCCAACAAGCTTTCAGGTGATGCAATAATGCTGGTCGTGAACCTAACTTTGAGGACAAGGGCTGAGATAACATCTGAAGAAGTATATTAGGCTCTGAATCCATTTTGAAAGAATAATGGCTGCCTTGAAACAACTAAAGAGGGCAGAAGACTCAACAAATGAAACCAATTTTGTTCCCTTCCAAGCCCGACAATAACAGAATTAGACATAAACTCACAAAGACAAGGGGGGAAAATGGTGCTGGAAGCAGAAGGACAAAAGTGGTAAGTAACTTACTGGCCTGAGAAAGCTGAATTCTAGGATCATAATGGGGAAACCTGAGAACTTACACAATTTGTACTGCTGACTTAAAGAGGCCTAAGACTGGTAGCACCAGGTATGCCTAGGCCTGGGGCTGAGCTGGGAGGAGGTGGCTTAACTATAAAAGACAAGAGTCAAATGATGTTTGAGAAGTTACATCCCGAGGTCCCTTTCCCTCCTTCGCACAACTGGACCACTGCCTCTCTCCAGCTCTGAGGGAAGTCTGGTTGCTCATTCTCTGGAGGGGCCTCTTGACTAGGGGATGCCAATTACATTGAGACAGGAGGTGCCCTACTGAAAAGAGGGAGTTCACGTACGTGAGCTGAATGCCGAGTGGTAAGACTCACCACCCTCCTGCCCAGCTCAGCTCCTAGGACACTGGCATCAGGTCCTCACCCTCCAGGCAGAAGATCAAAAGACTCATCTCTGGATAGTTTGACCTACCCCAAAGGAAAGACCTAAAGACCCACATGAGGGTCCTTAGCCAACAGTCCACCCAGATGACCCTAGAGTAAAGCTCAAGGTCAATAATCCTTCCATCAGATGGTGCTAGAATAGCCAGATATCCATAAGGAAAACAATGAACTTGGGTCAGCATCTCATCTCATGCACAGAAATTAATAAAAAATGGATTGCAGACATAAAAATAAAACCTAAAACTATAAAGCATTTAGAAGAAAACACAGACTATCTTTGGGATGTCAGCATTGGCAATGATTACTTGTTTCACAAAAGAGGCTGTAAAATGAAAAAATTGATAAGCTGATCTTAATCAAAATTTAAAACTTCTAGTCTTCAAAAGACCCCATTAAGAAAATATATAGGCAAGCCACAGTATCGTGAGAAAATATTTGCTGCACATATTCTGAAAAGGGCCTCAAATCCAGAAAATATATTTTAAAACTCTTAAAAATCAATAATTAAAAAAATGATAAAAAACGGGCAAAAGACTTGAATAGACACATGACAATAAGCACTAAAACAGATGCTCATCATCGTTAGACTTCAAGAAAATACAAATTAAAATACCAACAAGATACCACCACACTCTCACCAGAATGGCTAAAATTAAAAAACAATAAAACAAAAAACCCCAGACATTACCAAATGTCAGCTAGGATGTGGAAAAACTAGAAAGTAACTCCCATACTAACTAAAAATGGAAAATACCCCAAAGGTTAATTCACAGGAGGATGGATAAACAGACTGTGGGACAGTCATGCAATAGAATACTTCTTGGCAATAAAACAGAAAACTATGCAAGGCAGCCCGCTGTCCCCCTGACCAGGCTTCTTCCAGAAGTCCACTGCACTTGGTTCACTTCCAGATGCCCCAAATGGGGTAAGCCCTACATTTGCAAGGACTCATTCATGACCTTGCCCATTAACTTCCCAGGATGGGCACCTAAAAACTCCTAGGGAAGTGCAGGATGGACTCTGTGCAGCCTACTTTCCCTGGAAATCTTCATCTACTACCAGCAGCATGGCCTTTTCCTTGTTTATCTAGGTTTGGGCTTGCTTCTCAGCTGTCAGGATGAACAATATATGGCTAGCGATACACACTTATATAACAGATTTATGAATAAGGGTAATGAAAAGATTAACACAGGAATCAGGACAGTGGTGAACTCTGGGGAGAAAGAAGGGGATGCAACTGAAGAGGGACTCACAGGGAGTTTGAGAGCAGGGGTGCTGACCTATCTCTTGGTTTGGGGTGGTGGTTCACAGTGCTCACCCTCTAAAGCAAGAGCCACAGCCCTTCCAGCCTGGGAGTGAACGTTCTATCATGACCAGTGACAGCATGCACAGCTGTGTCAACGAGAATTCTGTTCGTGTGACTTCAGGGTGAATCATTATCAGAGCTAGGACAATGAGCCAACTGCAGCAGTATCAACTAAACCTTCTCATGAACTTCCTCGTGCCCGTAGTTAGGTGGTAACACTCTTGGGGGCAAATGGGAAAAGCAAACTAATTCAAAAACCTTAGGCTGCACTCAAGCTAACGTGTGAAGCAAAAGTATCCACACAGCCACGCACAAGAGCAGATTGCATGGCAACCTCCTACCCTACCAAGCCAGGAGAAAAGCACCTCTGAGTGCAGTACAAACAAATAGATATAATACTGATCTTTCAGATTAAACTCCTCCGAAACTATAGATATCATATCATTCAAACTCCACACAAAGGAAATAATTCCTAGCAAAAATACTGTGTAAAATACACGTAGGCACGCAGACATTCATTCCTTCATTCATTTAGTGAGCTTAGGCCCACATGGTCCAGCTTGCTGGTGAAGCTACCTAGACCAATTAGAATAGGCAAGCATTCACTGTCCTTCCTCAGAAGCAAACACATACCTCAGTTGTTTTCCCCCTATTAATTAATTAATCAATCTATCTATTTATTTATTTATGGCTGTGTTGGGTCTTTGTTGCTGCGCGTGGGCTTTCTCTAGTTGCGGCGAGCAGGGGCTACTCTTCATTGCGGTGGATGGGCTTCTCATTGTGGTGGCTTCTCTTGTTGCAGAGCACGGGCTCTAGGCGCACAGGCTTCAGTAGTTGTGGCTCGCGGGCTCTAGAGCACAGGCTCAGTAGTTGTGGCGCACAGGCTTAGTTGCTCCGCGGCATGTGGGATCTTCCCAGACCAGGGCTCGAACCCGTGTCCCCTGCATTGGCAGGAGGATTCTTAACCACTGCGCCACCAGAAAAGTCCCATACCTCAGTTTTTGAAGTCTATCCATTTCTTCAGTTTTGAGTTCATTCAATTCCTTTGTTCTTCTGGAAGTTTCAGCATCAAACCAATTGAGCCTAGAGGATGGTATCAGAGTCACCCTAACTCTCCTCAAACCAGCCAGGACTCCCTGGGGCTCCAGTCTGGGCTCCACTGTTGGCTTCTTAGGTGACTTCGAAGTACTTTCAGCAGGCAGATGGTCAATAAACATGAGAAGTGTGACTACACCACTAAACAATCTCAACTAGTTGTGAAAACGACTAGATGATGTAGAACAGCCCTGCTGCTTTGGTTTTTCTCTACCTCAGAAACATACAGTTACCTCTGTTTTTGCATTTTGTCCATTTCTTCGGCTTTTAATTCTTCTAATTCCTTTAATCTTTTGGAAGTTTCAGCATCAAGCCAAGTGAGTCTAGCAGACAGTACAAAAGACTCAGACCAATTCTGCCTTGACCTGCAGGTATCATTACCACATAAAGAGACCAGGAGTCAGGATCCCCCAGAGCACCAATCCTGGCTCCATTAAAGACTCAGGAGGTAACGCAGCCTCTGGGCCAGTAAAGCTCTCCGTGTGGCGTTTCATGTAAAAAGACATTCACCCGCAAGAGCACTCCTGGTGAGTGTGCAGAGCCACAAAAAAAATACCCACGAATATTCTCAAGAAAACTAGCCATTGCTGCAATTAGGACTTCTTGCTCAGCTGTAAAACAAAGCTGTTCCTGTATCTTCCAGCTCAAAGAAATGGGCTCCCAGGAGAGCCCTAAAGGCAGAGCAAAGTCAAATAAAAACAGAAAGGAAAAGCTAACTCGGAACAACCTTATTGTATGTGTTAGGGCTTGATGCTTTCAGTTTAGGGTACGTGAATAGTATCAAATTATCTAATGGTCCACTTTCACTCTGGCTTCCCTATAATTGCAAGAACAATTCCAGCCAAATGAATGCAGAGCAACCTGTTTTCACTGCTCTCTTGTCATGGAATGGCCTCACCTCATCACCCCCTATTTAAGGCCTATTCTTTAAGTCCTAATTGATTTTCCATCTCCCTCCACAAAGCATAGATCTCTGCAGAGGTGTCCTGTCCCCCTTCTGAACTCTCTCAGCTCTTAACTCTTCAGTTCTCAGGGGACATACGATGTTCTATCTTAAATAATAGTCAGTGATATGTCCTCTCTACTAAGCAGCAGCTGGGATTCTGTCCTTTTTGCCCCCCTTTTAAAAGTCTCCAGAAAGCTCACAACTGTACCATATACAAAACAAGCAATTGGTAGACAACTGACACATACGTAATTTTTGAATGAATTAGACAAGGAATAAAAAAGGGGTTCACTGTCTGAGCTGCATACTTTGACAGAAAAGTTTAGTGATTTCCATTTTAAATAGCCAACTTTATACATGGGAAAGAGAAGAGGTTGCTTTAGAATCCTCGTGAAAGGGGGCCTTTACTTTTCAAAGACTTGACGAACGCCAGCACAAACCTCACTGCTTCGTGCTCAACAGCACCTCTCAACTGACTTTCCTCTTGAGTATCTTCTTTCTGGAGAGACTGTTCTTTTGTGGCATCTTTGGGGCTAGATTTCACCTTTAGCCAGGCAGCGCTGCAAAAAAATGGAAAACTATGCCTTTGTAATCATTCACTCCACATCCAATGACTCATAAAAGGTGCCAGCTCAGAGAAGACAAGAGCGTTAAATTAATGGTGATCTACAGGATGGGGCTCTGAATTGGAAACTGAATGTAAAGCAGAGTGAGATCCTCCAGGGTTCAGGCTCAGTGTCAAAGGAGAGAAGTCCTCCTTTGCTTCATAGAAGCAATCACTATTTTAAATGAAAAAACAACTGTCCATTACAGAATAATGGGTGAACCTCAACAGAACCCTGTTTTAACATATAGATTTGGGTCACTGATTACATTCCATGTTACATAGCAACTTTGTGCCTTTGTAAGGCCTAATACAGCACTTTGAGCCTGTAAGCCTTATGCCCTCCCCTCCCCCACCGACCATACATACACTCTAGAAGACAGTCCACTGTATATTTGGTTTGCAATATAAACTCCAACCAACTGCTGTTTTTATGAGCTTACAACTGAATTCACATCTCTATACTAACACATATATAAAAATACAGATTTTTTTTTTTTTTTTTTTTTTTGCCACGTTGGGTGGCATGCGAGCTCCTAGTTCCCCAACCAGGGATCAAACCCATGCCCCCTGCAGTGGAAGCACGGAGTCCTAACCACTGGACTGCCAGGGAATTCCCCATAAACACAGAATTTAGAGCAGAGAAATAAAAGCAAGAAAGCACATACACTGTGAAATCAGAAGACCTGATTTTAGTCCCAGCTCTGCTATATAAGCAAGACATTAGATTTGTTGGACACTGTTTCTTCAGCTTTAAAGTGAGAGTCGAGGAATAAGCATAACCATCCATTCACAGTCATTCAGAGTCTTCGGGGACTCCATCCCACCAGGCTTCTCACCGTGTCTCCTGCCCGCCTCTTAAAAGCTGAACCCTTCAAGTCACCTATCTTCTCACTTGTTCTCCTCCCCCCATTACTACTTTTGGCTGCCTTCCTTTTACTGTCCTACCTCCTGGCCCTTTCCATTGTGCTTTTGAGAGCCACTGTCCCACGGTATACATGCTCCCCTTCACTTTTAATTTGTTTTTCTATATATATATTCTATAAATTTATTTATTTATTTTTGGCTGCATTGGGTCTTCGTTGCTGCGCACGGGCTTGCTCTAGTTGTGGCAAGTGGGGGCTACCCTTCATTGCAGTGCACAGGCTTCTTGTTGAGGTGGCTTCTCTTGTTGCGGAGCACGGGCTCTAGGCGTGCGGGCTTCAGTAGTTGTGGCGCATGGGCTCAGTAGTTGTGGCTCGCGGGCTCTAGAGTGCAGGCTTCAGTAGTTGTGGCGCATAGGCTTAGTTGTTCCGCGGCATGTGGGATCTTCCCGGACCAGGGCTCGAACCCGTGTCCCCTGCATTGGCAGGCGGATTCTTAACCACTGCGCCACCAGGGAAGTCCTCCCCTTTACTTTTAACCAATTCCCCAAAGACTACTTCCACCTAACTGGACTCTGCAGCCCCTGAAGGACAGTGCCTTCTCCCCAGCTCCGTGGAGTGGCGGGTCCTCATTCTCCATGTGCTATGAGTGAGGGTGACAAGGCAGTAATGTCAGCATTATCCTAACTGTCCCCTGCGGTCAGGACAGCGTCTATGAGATTTGCATGGTTTTATAATCCATATTGTCTTGACTTGGAATAGGAATTATTTTTAAATATTCATTCATTCAGCAAAGATTTACTAGATGTCTACTAAGATTTACTACATCAGGCACTGTACATTCAGATATAAGGAAGGCACAGTTCCTGGCCTCAAGTAACTAGGATCCACTGGGTGAAGAGACAAGTGAAGGGCAGCCCATGATCCTCCATACGGTGAACATGTCCACAGGGTATTGGGGTGACCCGTGGGAGTTACTCTACCCATAGCCAGGTAGGAAAGAGGAACCGATAGGCTTCTAGCAAAAAATGTCTCATGTATATATTACTCATCCAAATAAGCTTTTCCCCTTAATGGGAACTAAGGATGCTGCTTTATTTGCTCCAAGGAGTAGGTCACCTTTGATCTGTGGAGGAAAATAAAGTCAAACACCCAAATGGTTCCGTGAATTTTTACATACCATTTAGGAGATGCCAGTGGGGATGTGGGGTTTGGGGGTATCCAAGGAGCCTTATGGTCCTTCACAGGCTGCTGGTTCATTTTTAACCTGGAGGAGACTGTTGTCCGTTGCAACCTGCTTTTGCTGTAAGATTGGGGTGGTCTACTTTTTTCAGCTTTGTGGAGTCCCTGCAAGAGATAACTATGAATTATAAAGCCAAACGGATATCAAAGAAACTGGCTGTAACCTCTGGCTTACTGAAGCTTCAAATGGCCCTATGATGTTCATACACCCATTCAGCAAAAACCTAAGTGGAAAGCACTGTAGCAGAAATTTGGGGAGGGTACAAATTACACTGAAACAACTTTGGTTGTGGGGAGAGGGGTGGAGGCATAAAACTGGAATCCCTGGCTTGGCCGTCTTTATATTTATATTTATATAAATATATATATATAAATATATATTTATATTTTTTAATAATTTTTCCTAACTAAACAAAAGAGGTAAATTGTAAAACATTCTTGGTTAAAATGCATCTCTGAGTCTTAGGCTTCCCATCTGTAAAATGGGAGCTAATGTGTTCACGAATTTCTAGAAGATTAAAAGGGCTAATGGAGGAGGAGCACGACGGTGAAGGCAGAAAGGCACACGCCATCTAAACAGAATGGCTACTGTAAAACACTGTAGAGGATGAGGCTGCCTCGGAGGAGAGCACCAGGCTGAATTTACACAGGCTGAATCCTGATTTCCCAACGACCCCCCTTAAGAGTTTGTCTGAAAAGGAATAAAGACGATCTTAATCCATGATCTATCAGTAACAGGTGATAATTGCCAATATCCTTTTTCTGGGGTCACCTGACAATATGCAGGTTTGCTACATAAGCCTCTGGACAATCCATCAGATGGGAGTAACTACATTAAGGGTATTTAGACTAGGAGGTGGTCTTGTGGCCAGTTCTCCACTGGTAGGGCCTTAAGTTAACTTTTAGATAGAAGCTTAAAATATAATGTACTTTCAAGCCAGCTGGCTCCCAAAGCCATATTAGAAAGTACTCACCCTAAGATGCCTTTCAATATCAAATATTTATCGATATTTATCTTTAGCAGGAAATCTTAATCCCCTCAAATTTCACACTTCCAAATCAGAAGCAGAAAAAACCTACCCAGTGAAGACCTTGGTATCAAAACAGTTAGGCTCTTACTAAACCAGGACAAGAAAGAATGCCCTGCCCTTAGTAACAGTATTAAAACTTGTTGTTTTTTGTTAAAAGATACAAATGACCTGGAGCTAAGCTTAGTTTAGATAGTTGGACTCAAGGGCTCTGGCATTCAAAGGCCTGAGAACTCAAATCCTAGCTCCACCTCTTACCAGCCTGTGTGACCTTAGACAATGTCAGATTAATACAAATGGGCCAGAAGAAAGGAGTGATTTCATACTTGCTGTAGTCTTGCCGGTGCCAGAGTATCTTTCTTGCTAAAGGGTGGCACATTCTCAGTCACAAGCTTCTTTTTCCCTGCTCTTGTTTTTGCCAGGGCTAATGCCTCTTCTTTGAAGTTCGCATTTTGGTCTACAACAGATGGAGCTTCTTCCGGAAGGATATCCGCATCTAATACATCAAGCTCGTTTTCCAACCTCTGGGTCATTGGAAGCTCCTTATCAGGTTGATACTTATCTACGTGGAGATTTCAGAAGGACAAATTGAGGGAAATGCTGTTCAAATCAAGTGAGAGTGATTATCTAGAGACAGATAAGCTCACAATAATACCCTGTTAAAAACTGAGGTGTTTTGCTGTCCAAGTTGCTCCTAATCCTATGGCTCCTACTGCAGTTCTACAAGCAGAAACCTAAGTGCCATGGCTGACTCCCACATTTACTTACCCACCCGGTCCCTCAGATCCCAATTCTTAAGTATGTCTTATCCTTCCTTCCCTTCTGCCACCACCCAAGGTCAGGCTTGCAATAATATCCTGTGACTGTAACAATGGCATCTTCTAACTGACGCCTTCTTTATCTTCAACCACACCTTCTCCGGGCTACCATAATTATTTTTTTCAATGTAAATATTTAAATATCACTTCTCAAAACCTTCAATGGCTCCTAATCTGATAGAGAATAAAGTCTGAACTCCATATATGACATACAACCTGCAGTGGAAAAGAAAGTAAAACTGTCTTTATTTGAAGATATTTCCTACATAGAAAAAAAATCCAAGAGAATCTACAGATAAGCAATTACAACTAAGAACAGAGTTCAGCAAGGTTTCTGGATAAAAGAAGAAAAATATACAAAAGTCAATATCATTCCCACACATCAAAATAACTAATTAGAGAAAACATAAGAGAAAAAATACCCCATTAACATTAGCAACTAAGCCGTAAGGCACTAAGGAAGAAATCTAATGAAAGATGTACAAGACTTTTACAGAAAATATTCAAAGGTATTTTAAAGGACATGAAAGAAAATTTGGATTAACTGTATTCGTGAATGAAAAAATACTGTAAAGCTGTCAATTCTCCCCAAAGTGATCTACAATTTCAAATGCAAGTTCAATTAAAATCCCAACAGATTTTTCTGGGGATCTAAACAGGTTAATGCTAAAATTCTTATGAAGTGTAAAATCCCAAGATAGCCCAAATAATTCTGAAGAACAAAAAAGTGGGGAATAGGGCAGGGGTGGGAGTCTTATTTTCCCAGAGATAAAGTGTTCGTGATAAAGCTGTATTAATTAAGGCAGTGTGGGAGTGATACAGGAAGAGGCAGAAACCAATGAAGCAGGATGGATATGACAAAGGCAATATGACAAATCAGTGAATATGAACTGGATTGTTCAATAAATAGTGCTGAAATTATTAGTATCCACAGGTAACAAAATAAAAATTTAACTGTTCAGCGTGAGGATCCTTGCCTCAAACTGAACGCTTATATTATAAATGGAATAAAGACCTAAATGTGAAAGGAAAACTTTAAAGATTTTAGAAGAAAATATAGGAGAATATGATTATGACATCAGGGCAGAAAAGGCTTTCTTAAAGTCAAATAATGTTAACATATTTAAACTTAATTACATGAAACTACAACTTCCTTTTGACAAAAAGACACCATAAAGTCACAGACAAGCCAGAGTCTGGAAGTACATCTCTGTAATGCATATAACTAATATAAGCTTAATATACATAATATGTAAAGAACGCCTATGAATCTGTAAAAAAAACAAACAATCCAACAGAGAAACAGGCAAAGGATAGAAAACGGCAATTTAGAGAGAAAATCTGAACCGTCAATAAAAGCATGAAAAGATGATCATCACTAATCAGAAAAACTGAAATTAAGACAATGAGGTACCATTTCACCCATCGGATTAGGGGGGAATTTTTAGTGTGACAATACCACGTATAAACAAGAATGTAGAAAAACAAGTACTCTCACAAGCTACTAGTGCAGGAGTAAACTGGCACAGCTACTTGAAGACTCACCCACACTGTCACTCAGCAGTTTCACTCCTGGGCACAGACTCAGCCTAGAGGAACCCTCACGCTTACACAGGAAGACATGAACACAGATATTCACTTCATCGTGTTTGTAACAGCAAAAAAGTGGAAACGACCCAAATGTCCATCAATAAGAACTGAGAATAAACTATGGTATATTCATACAAGGGAAACCTATCCAGTGGTTGAATTAATAAATTAGAATTCATGTATAAATATGAACAAGTCTTACAAACGTAAGTGGAGGGGAAAGCAAACTGCAAATGTTGCATTTGTAAGATATCACTGACATGAAACGCATAGCATATGAAACAATACTTTATAGTGTTTATGGATAGAGACATAAGCAGTACAAGTATAAAAACAGGGCAGGTCCATATTATAATAACAAGAGTAACCTCTGGTGAGGGAGGGAGGGAGGGGTATAGAATGGGGAGAGAAATATAAAAGGCACTTCAGCTGTAGCTGTCATATTTTATTTCCAAAAAAAATTCTGAAGCAAATAAAACAAAAATGTTAAAGTTTGTTAAATCTGGCTAGTAGATATACAGGTATTTATTATTTTCATTCTTTTTCTATATGTTTTAAATATTTCATAATAAAAGGAAAACTACATTTAGACTACCTTAATGCAGCCAAAGGCCAGATTCTCCTTGCACCACTTTTTTAATCTGGTACTTTTCAAGGTCATGGAAGTTACGCTGCAAGGGTACATAAATTGGAAGGAAAGAATGCTTAGACTAAATCCTCAGTCTAAAAATTATTAATCCCCAAGTTTACATATAGCAAGGCAACTCTGACCTCTAGGTCCTGATGCCTTTTCAGTTCTGATTTGCATAAATCAACTGCAAATGTAGTACAAGTTCCAGGGGCAGCTGAGTTTGAGGACATTGCTGGTGATGGGAAGGGAACCAGCATCCTTACATCTGACAAGTTATACTAATGCAATCAACCACTGCAAGAACATTTCAGAAGCTGCTAAAGAAACGCGCCAGCCAACAATTATATAAATCACAAGATCAAATCAGGCTCACACATATATCCCAACTGAAAAGACGGGGTTTTCCACCCAAGTGGCTCCCTATGACTTTTGGCGGGGGGGCGTTGGGAAGAAGGGACCTTAGGAACTCAGAATGGAGGTATTAGGTAGAGTGAGATCTAAAACAGAAACAGAAACTGCAACCTTCTGAAATTCAGATTATAAAGACCAAAAAAATACCAATAAAATAAATAAGAGGGCTACCATATCCTTCCCCATGAGCAACTGTATTAAATTTGCAAAGTAGCTAACCATAATACCTCAATTTGTAATGATGATAACGACAGTGATTTTATGATCAGCCCTGACATCTGCACACTTTTTCAGTATCTAACATAATTCACATTCATATTTGAGGCTCACCATGACACACAGAGCAGGTGGGGCAATGATTACTACGGTTTTTCAGATGAGGAAGTAACAGTTAAGTGCTTTACTCAAGGTCACAAGGTCAGCAAGCAGCAGAGTCACATCTTCTGACTCTCTCAGTCCAGGGCAAGGCCCATTCATTCTGCCCTGTCAGGAACTACGGAGCTGTTCCACATAAACACATTTTCCAGATAACTGAAGCTCACTTAATTCTTGATGAATTATCTAATTTGCTACTTACAACAACTAAGTCAGTTACATCGGATAAGGACCACAGGGGTACCTGAGAGATCTTGCAGGTTCGGTTCCAGACCACCAAAATAGAGCAAATATCACAATAAAGCGAGCCACACAAATGTTTTGGTTTCCCAGTGCATATAAAAGTTATGTTTACACTATGTAGTATGTTGTCGATGAAGTGTGCAATAGCCTTATGTCTTTAAAAAATGTATACACCTTAATTAAAAAATACTGTATCACCAAAAAATGCTAACCATCACCTGACAATGCAGGGTTGCCACAAACCTTCAATTTGTAAAATCACAGTATCTGTGAAGCACAAGAAAATAAGGTGTGCCTGTATTATCCCCACTCACAGATGAAAAAATGAAGGTTCAGAGAGATTAAGTCATCAACCCAGGATCACAAACTGGCGGAGCTGGGACTAGAGTGAGGTCTTTCTGGTCCCCGTTTTTCCCACTGTGGTCTGTCTTCCTGCTTTCCCACATTGGTGCCTACAGTGAGTTTTATATTAGCAGGTTTCCCAACTTCTCTCTCTGAATCTGGTCCTCATCTTTCACAACTCAGTTATGGGCGCCTCTCATCTTTTAACTCATTTAGGGAACATATCTCTGTGTGCAGGCCTGGAAAGTTCACCACATTCCCTCCAGAGTATCATAAATGAGCACCCAGATCTCAGGTTACTGTGATTTGCAGCTCAGAGGCCTTTTCTTGTTCTATTTCACTTCTTCACAGTCACTCATTTAAATGCCTAACTATGTGTCGGCCTTGGGGCTACCACAGAGGATACAGCGGCAAATAGACATCACACCTGTCCTGAGGGAAAGGCTGGCAAAGGCAGCCTTCTGGTTAGAAGGAAGGTGCTATACTAGTTCTACCTGTCTACCAATGAAGGGAACAGAATACCACATTACAGTGAGTAAATATCTAATAGTAACTGAGTAAGTTAGGTTTTGTTACATTCATGATAGAGGCAGTGCATTAAGCTACAGATTTCCACAGAATTAGTTTAGATTGAGAAATAAATGAAAACCAGACTGATATATAACTTTCAAATCAGTAGAGGAAACAAAATGAAACAAGAACTTGATTAACATAATAAATTACAACAAAGAAAAAAAAAGTGGCAAGTGGAAAACAAAAAATAAGGTAGAAAGAAGTTCAAATGTGCTATTAATCTCAGTAAATGTAAGTAGGTTAAATATAGAACTCTACAACAGGGTTAAAAACACCAACAATAAACTATTTACAAGAGACATTCTTAAAACAGCAAAGAAAAACTGAACATAAAGGGATGGAAAATGTTATTCTAGGTAAATGCCAAACAAGTTAGGTAGATGAAACAATATTAATATCAAACAAAACAGAATCCAAAGCGAATGACGTTAAAAAGGCCAAGAGAGATATTTAATAATAACATACAAAATCCACAGAAAAAAGATTTATCAGGGCTTCCCTGGTGGCGCAGTGGTTGAGAGCCCGCCTGCCGATGCAGGGAACACGGGTTCGTGCCCCGGTCCGGGAAGACCCCACATGCCGTGGAGCGGCCGCGCCCGTGAGCCATGGCCGCTGAGCCTGCACGTCCGGAGCCTGTGCTCCGCAACGGGAGAGGCCACAACAGTGAGAGGCCCGCGTATCACACACACACCCACACACACCCACCCACACACACACACCCACACACACACACACACACACACACACAAAAGATTTATCAGTAAGGAACGCTTATGCATCTAACAGCACAACTTCAAAATGTACAAAACAAAAATGAATAGAAATACAAAGAGAAATTTTAAAAGTCTCAAGAGACTTTAACATACCTTTATATCAGTCATCTACAGATCAAGTAAATAAAACCAGAAAACCATAGAAGAAAAAGAAATAAAAGGAATAAAGACTGGAAAGGAGGAAATAAACCAATGGTTATATTCATAGATGACATGACTATATACATTGCAAAACACAAATAATCTGCCCATAAATTATTAGAAATAAATTAGGTTATCAAGGTTCCTAGATATAAGATCAACACATAAAATTGACTATATGTCTGTATATCCACAATATTCAGTAAAAATTAAATTTTTAAAAAGATATCATTTACTGAAAGCATTGAGAGCACTGAAAATAGCAATACCAAGGAATAATTCTAAATAAAGATGAACAAACGCACACACACATTGTAAGTTACTGAGAGTATTTAAAGACAACCTAAATGAATGGAGGGATATATACCCTGCTGGTGGATTGGGAAATATAATATTGTAAAGATAACAATTCCTCACCAAAATTCCAATAGGTTGTTTGTTGTTGGAGGGGGAGGGGATGAAAATTAACAAATTCTGACCCTAACATTTCTATGGAAATACTAAGGGTCAAGATTTGCCAAGACATTCTGGAAGAACAGGTGACAAAAGCTGTTCTACCAGATATCGAGACTTAGAATAGTTAAGTAAGATAGTGTACACTAGCATAAGAACCAACAAATAAATCAGTGGAAGAGGAAAGAGGACCCAGAAACTGACCCACACATATGTGGACACAACTTATGACAAAAGTGACACTGTATGCCACTGTGGGGAAAGAATAATATTTTCAACAAAGAGTGCTAGCTCAACTACATATCCACCTGGAAGAAAATGAACCTTTTTTAGGAAATAACACAGGAAAATAGTTTCTTAATTTTGGCATAAGGAAAAGCTTCGTAAACAGGATCCAGAAACAAACCAAAAAACAAACAACAACAACAACAAAAAACCTATACAGAAAAGATTGCTACATTGGAATACAGTGAAATTAAGAATTCTGTCCATCAAAAGACACCTCGGCAACATTTAAAAGCAAGCTACATCTTATTTCTATGAGGATATTTACAACACAGGTAACTGAGAAAGGGTCCTATGTAGAATACTCCTACAAAGAACTCCTACAAATCAATAAAGAAAAAGAGAGAGAGAGAGAAAGGAAAAAAGGGAATAGAAAATGAGAGAGAGAGAGAGAGAGAGAGAGAGAGGGAGGGAGGACTGGTCAGGAGACTTGAACTGGCACTTCACAAAAGAAGACATGTAAATGGCCAATAAATATATGAAGAAGTACTCACCATTAAACATCCAGAAAACGTAACGAAAACCACAATGACAGCCTTACACATCAACCAGGTCGCCAAAATTTTAAAAACTAATAACAAGGGCTGGCAAGGATGTGTAGCAACTGTTCTCTTACACGGTTGGTTGGAGTATAAAAGGATAAAACTACTTTGAAAAAAATCTTTATTACAGTTGAACCAATGCATACCCTGATGACCTAACAATTATACTCCTGGGAATAAACCCAACAGAAACACAGGCACACATGTACCAAGAGACATATATAAAAACGATCACAGTAGTTTCCCTTATAATCACCCCAAACTGGAAAAAACCCAATGATTAAAACAACAGAATAGATAAATCGCCATATATTCGTACAATGGAATACAGCCATGAACATAAACAAATCACAGCTACACAAACAGAACAGATGAATCTCACAAAGTGTTAAGTGGAAGAAGCCAGTCACAAGAAAATACCAATTGTACAGCAAAACCAAAGTACAGCATTAAAAATCACAGTGATAGTTAATAGAGGGGAAGAAGCAGGGGAAGGAGGTTGGAAGAGGAGAGTCTAGGGGGATTTCTTAGTGCTTGTAACATTCCATTTCTTGACTTGGGTGGTGGTCATACACAAATGTCTGTTTTCTGATAACTGAGCTGTAAATTTATAGTGCACTTTTCTATCTGTACATTCCACTTCAATTAAAAGAAGGAAAACTAGTTTACTGGATTCATCCACACTCTGATATAAATGGCATATTAAAAAATTCAATATTAAAATCTTCAAACTATTTTAAAATACTATTAGTGTATATATGTCAGTTTAAGAAGGAAAAAAAAGAGGAAAAGAAAATCTCTTAGCAAAACAGGAACAGAAGAAAATTTCCTTAACTTTCATATGCAGATTTGCCAAAAATCAATAGTCAGCATCACATATGAAAAAGCATTCCCTTGAAACTGGTAAGGGGGGGGCACGCACAGGGAGTTGATGTCCACCATTATAGCTATTATTCAATATTACCCTGAATTAAAATCCATTCAATAAAGCAGAAAGAGGAAAAAAGAGAGGTATAAAAATTGCAAAGAGAGAGGCAAAACTTAAGTGAGCTCATCTATCTGGAAAAATACATAAAAGTTAACAAAACCTCATATTTCATCAAATCTGAAATATCAAGTATAAGACATATCATTATTTTATGTACCAATACGAAATTTTAAAATATCGTCAAGTAAGATATCATCAATTTAAGAATGCACCCCAATTTCAGAAATGTTCAAATGTATACCTTAGAACCAATGAAATATAGTACCATAACAAATTAAAGATTTCAGCAAGGTGTCAGATAAAAGAGCAATGTACAAATCCAACAGCTCTCCTATAAGTAGCAATAACCAATTTCAAAATGAATTTTAAAAACAGATCCCATTCACAATAGCAATAAAAACTGGAAATAAACCTAACAAGAAATTTAGGAATTCCTATATATTCCTACGTCAGGGATTATCATATGCAGAAAGTTATAAAATTCAACTGAAGGGATGGAAAAGGGGCATGAATAAATTGATAGATCATATTGTAAAGATGTCATTCCTCTCCTAATTAATTTATGAACTCAATGTAATACCAATCGAGCTCCCAACAGCACTTTTCATGGAACTTGACAAGCTCATTCTAAATTCCTCTGAAGATAAGCAATCACCATCAGCAAAATTTTGAAAAAGCACAACAACAAAGAGGAAAGAACTACCTCTTAAAATATTAAAATATGTAGGAAAGAATGATGATTTTTGCCTACAAAATTTAAATTTTCTGGGAATTCCCTGGCAGTCCAGTGGTTAGGACTTGGTGCTTTCACTGCCAGGGTCCAGGGTCAATCCCTGGTCAGAGAAGTAAGATCCCGCAAGCCTTGTGGCACAGCTGAAAAAAGTAAATAAAATAAATAATAAAAATAAAATTTTCTGTGCCAGAAAAGATATCATAAACAAAATTCAAAAGTAAGTTCTAAGAGAAAATATTTACAATACATGTAAACCAGAAAAGGATTAAGATCCAAAATATATAAAGAACTTCTATATACCCATAAGCAAAAGACAGAACCCAGCAGGGAGATGGCAAAGGATATAAACAGATAAATCACAGAAGAGGAAATAAACAAGGCTAATGAACACATGAAAGAAAAACCTTCCTGACTAGGAATCAGGGAAACACAATATAAAACAGTAAGGTACCATTTTCCACCAAGAGACTGGAAATTTTTAATATTTCATTATATAAAGTACTCGGCAAGGATATGGGGAAATACATACTGATGGTCACTGCTAAACAAAACATAACTGCATGCCCATTTTCAAGGGCAAGCTGGCAGTATCTGTTTAAATGTGCACACCACGTAAGCTTGCAACTCTGCTTATTGGAATAATGAGAATTTATTACCTACGTAAAAAAAGATCATATGTATCAACCAAACGTGTGTTTGTGCAGATATGTATATATCTATCGTTAAAATGTAAATAAAGAAACTTAAAAAAAAAACAGCAGGGTTCTAATTTCCAGCTCTGCAGGGATTTACTTTGGTTAGCCCAAATGCTATGATGCAGGAAAAGGGAATTTTACTTTCTCCACCCTCCTCTAAGGAAAAATACTCCAGCCTCCAGCCTAAGGAAGCATTTTGGTTGCTATTCCTTTATCCTAGTTCAAGTGCACCTATTGTGGAATAGGCTTTAAATTCTGACCCAGGGGGGCAACCGTTACAGTCCAGACAATTTCAAAGAATAAAGTATCTTGTAATAAACACTTTAGGACACATACCAGCAAGAAGCTTCTTTGCCACTGAAGGTCCTCTTGTTTCCTGTGGAAATATCTCCTTTGCTACGAAGGGCCTCCTCTCACTCTTTGGTGATGTACTTCGCCATCTCTCTAAGGCCCTTTGGCTACCAATAGGAAATCTGCTCTGAATTTCACTGAAACATTTCTTTGCCTTTTTTGGTGACAGTGTCTTTTCCAGGAGGGATTCCAAAGCCTGCCATGAAACAGTTAATCATTCTCTTAGTTTATCTCACAAAAGTCTGACTTCTCAATTATAAAACTGAAAATGGGAACTCCAGAGAAACTCATTATTAAATGGCTATCTCTAATTGTTAATGAAACGTCACTTAATTTTAAAACTTGGTTATTTAGGAATCCAATTAATGAAAGAATTCTGCATGTTCTTTTACATGTTTAGCTCACTAAAACCAATAGCAAAAAAATAAAGAATATGAACACTCTTAAAGGCATCCAAATTCTAAAATTAAGGATTCCTATTTTAAAAACTAACCACAGTCTTCAGAATATAATCCTATACGCTATATAAGCAGTTTAATTCTCAATGAAAACCTCATAAACTTAAATTATCCTTTAAGTGGGCACACAGACTGTATTTAATGCACATCTTCATAAACTAAAGGAAACTTAGCATGTCCAGTGGCTCTGGTCACTCATCTACCACAACGGGGGAGATCTGTGCCCCTCCACCCCTTCTAAGAGAGGTATGTCCTCTAACAAGTACCCACTCGTCACCAGGCAGCAAGGGCCCAGTCTCCCTCCAGTCAGTACAAGTTAAGGACAACTGAACACAGCCAGGGACATTTAGTTCAGATGACAGTAAGGCAATAAGAAAATAATAAGCTATGGGTTGGTGTCGTAGACATCAACAAGAAAGAATAAATTTCTTGTGCTACTGAATATTTTCAAATGTAGAGGAGACAAACATTATATTTAAGAAACATTATGTTAAGGCACTTCTGCTCAAAATTTGGGAAAGGGACTATATCTCTTGAGATCCTTTCTAGGATTAGCAAGATATGTCCTCTAAATGAAATCATCTGGCCAATAAATATTTCTTATGGATAAGTTTAAAAAGCACCACATAACTTGATATGCTACCTAAAGGTCTCCATTTGACAATAACATTCCTGATAGTAAGTTCTATACACACGAATGTAACCAACGTAAATCACAAACATATTTGCTGGATAATGAAACTGTAAAGGCAGAAGGGGACTTAAAGATCACCAAGGGCTAGTTAATGGTAGAACTGGTCTGTCACTTAGTCTCGAATTCTTCCCACTACAGCATCCTTCCTCTACAGCCAACAGCTTACTGTGTCACACTAACAGAAAGGCCATCCTTTTATTTGTGGATGAAAATGTGTGGCGCAGTGGAAATAACAGTGGCATGGGAGTCAGAAAACAGGCATTGGATTTCCAGCTATCGAGAGAAGTAACTGTGTCATGTCTCTGACCTTTTTTTTAATCTGTAAAATAAAAGTAATAAAACCTATTGCAAATCACAGCAACGCAGTAAGGATGAAATGACAGCACTCCACAAACTTCAAAGAACTATAAAGATTTAAGGACACAGTGTTTTTGCTGTCTTTGTCACCAATAAAACTAAAAACACTATCCATTCCTGACTAGTACATACCAGTTGTGATTTCCAGAAGTCTCTAGCCATAGCACAAGACTTTAGACTCTGTTTCCATATATTTTTGTGTTTCTTTTTTTCAAAAATCTATCTAGATTGCACACTGATATTCTAATCTAAGCACTAATCTAAACAGTGCTTTACTGTTTTCCTTTTGTATGCTAATAAGTTCTTTTGGTCACGGTATGGAACATTCTGTTTAATTAGTGGACCTGGTTAAGAGTTGTTATGTGTTCTAGACTCAAGTCACCAATTCTCAAAGCAGTGAAATACAATATAGACTAGATTGTAAAAACAAAATTAAAATGAAGTGCTTCTTCTGCCCTCTGCAAAGCCTGAATTTACTAGGCACCAGCTTTGTCTTGTATTCTCCACAAATCTCAATGAAATTAGGCAATGGTAAACATTACTTCCCTGCTTAGAAACAATGCACTTTAAACAAAAATCGGAGTCAATTTCATACCTCAGTTTGTTGCAGGATGTCTATCACCACATCAGGGACAGAAGGATTGGCCTCCAGCTTGGCAGAACAGAGTGAAAGCTGGCGGATGAGACGGCCCAATTCCTTGCACCAAATAGGAACTGCGTGCTCCACCCGGTCAGTAAACTGAGTAACAAACATCTGTAAGGCCCGAATGGCTCCTCGATGGGCAGCTGCCAGCCTGGACACTGCCCATGACTGGCAATAAATGAGATGCGAGAGTTATTTCAATACTCACAACTTCTAAACGTTAACCCAACCCGTACGAACATTTATAGCCAATCTTCTTTCTATGTGAGAACAACTTCTACTGTAAAAACTTTTTCATAGTAAAGGGAATTGTAAAGCTTAAAGGTTTTCTAATGAAAAAGTCTTTTCCCTTTTATGCTCAGTTTCTTATACCAGGAGCAACAACAAAAATCTATTTTCAGAACCTATTTCTTGGAAGATGAGCCCATATTCAGAATATGTAAGATGCTCACTCCCTAATAGGTTTCTACAAGCACTGAAAATATTAGTGCAGAGAACCCACGCATAATACTAACAAAATACTGGAAATGTAGTTTATAAGTAGTATGAATCATAATTAAATTGCGTCATACCTTCTTAGTATGTTTAATTTTATGTGGACTCAATTTATCCAATTCTTCCTGGATTTCTTTAACCTGTTTTGTAAAGGGGGGAGAAATGAAAACTTCGTACCTTTCCACTGATCTTTTCTGTAGAAAAGGATACATTTTCTCTTGTCCAAATATAACCATTATTACTATTATTTTTTATAAATTTATTTATTTATTTTTTGGCTGCGTTGGGTCTTCATTGCTGCGGGCTTTCTCTAGCTGTGGCGAGCAGGGGCTACTCTGCGTTGCGGTGCGTGGGCTTCTCATTGCAGTGGCTTCTCTTGTTGTGGATCACGGGCTCTAGGTCCAAGGGGTTCAGTAGTTGTGGCTCGCGTGCTCTAGAGCGCAGGCTCAGTAGTTGTGGTGCACGGGCCTAGTTGCTCCACGGCATGTGGGATCTTCCTGGACCAGGGCTCGAACCCGTGTCCCCTGCATTGGCAGACGGATTCTTAACCACTGCGCCACCAGGGAAGTCCCAAATATAACCCTTATTAATTCAAGTCACTTGAAAATGAAACAAGGCTCTTCATTCATTCACCCCCAAAGTAGCTATTGGTTTCCAGTTCGAGATGGTGACTAGAGCTCAGGGTTCACCTTCCATCCCTTGGTCCCCAATGTAAGAGGAATTTAACATGAAGGAGTGAAGGTGAAGGTGACTCTGGAAAGGTAGGAGGGCCAGATCAGGATGTCTTCAGTGCTGTGGCTAAAGAATTCAGCCTCCACCCTCTAAGTAACAGCGAGCCAATCAAACCTTTCAAGCACAGCTCTGATTCATGTTTCAGAACAATCTTTATGGCAGCAGCGCAGAGTAAAAAACAAAATGAACCCAACAAGAATACAAAACAAAATCTAACTCAGGCATTATCTTTTAAATGAAACAGTCCAGTTTTGGGTTCAGCAGTAAGGCTAACACGTGAGCTAAGTGGCCAGAAATGAGTTCAAGGCTTACTAATGAGTAAGGCGTTAAATTTAAAACAAACATTTAAAAATTCTATCCACAATGTAAAAAATGTAAATGCCTGCTTATTGGCCACTCCATGTGTCCTGAAAGACACTTAACACATTCTTCACTCTTTACTATTTAGTAAAGACAATTAAACTATTTACTATCTACTAAGCTTCTAATACACAATAAACATGAGACAGATGGGAAACTAACAAGGTCCCTATCCTCTAAGACTATAAGGTGCATTACTGGGGATCTCAGGTTTCAGGGTAACTGATCCACTTAAATTTATCTGCAAAAATATGGGCTGTATAAGCATTTTTTTCTGGGGAAAGGACACATAGCTCTTAATAGATTCTCAAGAGTCTATGACCTCAAAAAGTAAAGAAAAAAACAAAAACAAAAACAAAAAATCCCCCAGTATTTAAAGAGTTTGGCCAGGGACTTCCCTGGTAGCATGGTGGTTAAGAATCCGCCTGCCATTGCAGGGGACACGGGTTTGATCCCTGGTCCGGGAAGATCCCACATGCCTTGGAGCAACTAAGCCCATGCGCCACAACTACTGAACCTGCACTCTAGAGCCCACAAGCCACAACTACTGAGCCCGCGCACCACAACTAGTGAAGCCCGTGTGCCTAGAGCCGGCGCTCTGCAAGAAGAGAAGCCACTGCAATGAGAAGCCCGCGCACCACAACGAAGAGTAGCCCGCACTCACCACGACTAAAGAAAGCCCGTGCACAGCAACGAAGACCCAACACAGCCAAAAATTTTTAAAAAGTAAATAAATAAAACAAATAAATTTATAAAAAAAAAAGAGAGAAGGCATCACAATGAGAAGCCCGCGCACCGCAACAAAGAGTAGCCCCTGCTCGCGGCAAGTAGAGTAAGCCTGTGCGCAGCAACAAAGACCCAAGGCAGCCAAAAATAAATTATAAAAATTTTTTAAAAAGATAAAAATAAAATAAAGAGTTTGGCCATATACACATAATACACAAACACACATAAAGGCTGAGGACGAGAAGCAGAATTATTTGTCCACGTGTTCAGGAAATTCGGCCTCACAAACACATCAGAATTCATGTAGGATACCTGGTGCTGATATTCCTGGGACAAAAGGAAAACAGGAATTCCCTGAGAAGGTCCCCGGTCCCTGAGCCTCCTCACCTGCTGCTGGAGGACGTAGAGCATTCGGGCAGAACGGACGGCCTGCTCCTTCCTCCTGACACGGATTCTCTGCTCTTCATCTGGATCCAAAGCTTCTTCCATGCGATCTGAAAATATTTTTCCCCCAAAAGTGGATTATAAACCACACATTAAAAACTTATAAAAACTTCAATTACTCAAAGAGATAATGAGGTTGACAATCTCTAGTTTTATTAAGAAAAAAAATGAAGCTGTCATAACCAAAAAATTTCAGTTTTCCTCAGCCATAAAACTAGGAACCAGCAAGTGGGCCTGTGTCCTGACTCAGAGATGGAAGAGGCATGAAGACTAACTAGATCAAGCTCCCCTCCAGGCAGGAATTCCCTGAACCAAATACCACTGGACAGCCTATACCACAGTTAAGCATCTCTTACTATTCTTAAATTCTTTCTATTGAACCCAAATCTATAATGCTTTCTATTTTTTTTTTAATTAAATTTCTTGGTCGCGTCACGTGGCATGCAAGATCTTAGTTCCCCGACCAGGGATGGAACCCACGCCCCCTGCAGTGGAAGTGCAGGGTCTTAACCACTGGACCACCAGGGAAGTCACGTGCTTTCTATTTTTTAAAAAAACCATTTATTGACCTATTTTTATGTTTAGCAAGATTTCTTTTGCATTCTCTTATCTTGAACCCAGATGAGAAGTCCTTTCTCCAATATTAAGACACCAAGGGCTAAAATTATTTGCATGTCCAAAGTCTTCATTTATTTGTCAGGAAGCACACCCTCATACACACTGCTGCTCCACATTTTCAAAAGATTCATTCAAAGAAACTGTTTCTGGAAGACTGCCTGAGCAGCTCAGCTTTAAAGGTCCCCTGTATGAGGCCCCATCACCAGAGCAGCGGGCCTCGTGGCTTTGCTCCCCTGGTATCATGGTTTCTACCAAACTATACTGTGGGGTCATGCCACAGACCGCCACTGAGCGATGTTAGGAGAAACAAGCCACAACACTGCTGCTATTCTGATGTAGGAATGTTTTCAAATTGTTCATATTACACAACATACTCTTTATAAAGACCCACCAGAGACAAATTTTTTTCCAGCCTCAATACGTGGTATAATTTTTTTCCTCATACAACTGTTTTTTTCTTTGTAAATTCTGCAATTGATCACATTTTCCTGGTGAGCTGACTGTGAGGAAGCTCAGAAACAAATCTGTAACCCGTTCCTAATAAATCTTATTTTTCCTTTCCTTATTTTTTCCTGTGCCAAAATATCCTCATTTACATATTTTTGTTCTATTTTATTCAATCTGTTTTTGTAAGGCACCTTAAATTCCTTACGTAACATGCATACGCACACATATGCATACATTACTTGACTTTATAGTGCAAAAGATCATTATAGACTATGTGTTATCTTAGCACAGTAGCTCCTTTTGATGTTACCTCCCTATTCCTTGCAGTCTGAAAGCTAGGCTTGGTCCCCCTACTTGTTAGCTATGGTAACCCCAAATTTTCCATGTGCAATCAATCTTCTACTCCCCAGGGAAATGCAAGGGCATAGGGAACACTGAAAAACTGTAGAGAACAGTATATGAGGGTTACACACCTTCCTTTCTACCCTGTGGTCAGATATTTTATATGTATATCCATAACTCCCCATCACTGCTGTGTACTCATCTAACCACTGCCTAAGTTAGAACTGGTTTTAGCTATAATATACAGGTATTATGCTCTTTTCTGAACAAATTAATTTTTCCAGAAGGACTTCTGGATACAGAAGCAAAACATTACAGGATAATTTGCACTCAGGTGCTAGAAGACCTAAGCTTCAGACAACAGGTACCGCAATTACTAGGCGGGGCCCTCAGTCAGTCGACTTACCAAGTACAGCCTAAGGAAAAGAGGCTCTTTCAGGTGCCTCTGCTGGAAAGAGGGGCTAGGGCAGGACAAACTCGTCAGAAAAAAAGACACTGGTCAAACTCAAAGTCCACCTGTCTTGTCATGAGTGCTCACTCTAGTGACAGGAGAGAATGGAATGTGACAGGGGGCGGGATCCCGAAGAATGCATTTGGACTATACCCTCTCATAGCATCTTTTCGAAGTCAAGAGTCCAATTTTTCTCACCTTTTTTAGTTAATTCTTCAATTTTATGGATACAACTGCTCAATTCTTTCTGGAGTCGCTGAACTTCCAGCAGGCTTTTGTGTCCACATAGGCTTTTGTGGTCACCTATCCTGGCATGTGGCTGAAGTCCTGGATCACGAGTGGGTGGCGACTTTGGCATGGTGAGGTTTGACTGTCCCGGATGAGATGTGTACAGGTATACCTTGGCACCTGAGCTGGAAATTTCTACTTTGGATGGCTGGTTGCTGCTGTGACAGACTTCCTGACTCTTTGATTCCTTCCTTTCCACTCTATGGTCAGATATTTTATGGTTAGACTGTCCACATTTCTGAAGGATTTGGGGCTGACTTCTGAGATGGTGTTCTTTTATATGTTCTTCAAGTTGTCTTCGTTTTACATCTCTTTTGGCTAGATGGACGGCGTAGCTAAGTCTCTCTTCTGATATGACAGAAAATGAAACAGAACTGCCTGCGTCAGGACCGTTTCTAAAACCTGAATCTCTACAATGGTATGACTCATTGTATGAGTGCTTCAGTTTTTCAATTCTAATTCCATGTGGGCAAGAATATTGGATTGCCAAGTTGCTTGAATGTGTAGGAACATTCCTATTAAACTGCAGCTGGTTCTTCAAAAAAAAAAATAAAAGCAAGCGCACATTAGAAAAATAACATACTGCATAGTTAGTATATGTGTATAATCAAGTTTCTAACATTTCACCCACACGATTATTAGTGCTAAGAGGTATTTTCCTGTTGTACTGATAGAATCAGCTACTCTCACACACCCTTGAGTTAACCACACACCCCTGGTTCTATCCTACCATCACCCAGTCCCCAGTATTATCCTTCTGGTTTACTAGTAGCATACTAGAATCCTCCTCACAAAGTCAACTCAGAAAGCTTCAAACAGAACCAGTAAGTTCCTCAACTCCTCAGTGATGGACTTCTGCCCTGTATCAAAATGTCAGTTTCCAGCAAGTGATCAGTACAATTCATTATGAGTGTTCCTGAAAATTGCTCCACAGATGCACCACACAGAACCTAAGCCACTGACAATACCCTTCCTGAGATTTTTCATCTGGTGGTTAGACCACATCTCTTATCCTACACCTCAGTGCATCTTGCTCTAAACAGTCCACTTCACCTTCTTAGGCAAGTTTAAGTGTTTGTTAGTTATAATCATGATAGACACAGGTTTTGTTCTTCACTTAACAAACATAGGCATGTTTCCATACTCTCACAGTTTTCATTATTTTTCACAGTTGCACTTTCCAAAATCCAATGAATGGCCTTTTCATGCTTAACCTAACTATAACCTTATTATTAAACAGCTAGATTGTTTCAGCTTTTCCACTGATAGAAGTATTACTTCAATTAATATTCCCATGCATTTAGTTTTTTTCTCTTTTTAAATTATTTCCTTAGGATAAATGATCTGTTCTGCAATTACTATGTCAAAGGGAGCAAACAATTCTGTGGCTTTGGACCTGTCCATGGCAGGTAAATAGCACTAGGAGAATCCGTGCATGCAAACCCAGTGCAGCCTGTGCTATGATGCCTTATTCTTGAGACGGCCTCCCCAACTCTCACAGCACACACAAGAACATGTGTTTATACAATCACGTGTATGAAGAGTTAGTTTAAACTAACCCAGTGTGATAAAACTTCAGGAAAGTATTTTAGGGAAAAAAAGTAGAGATGAGAGAGAAAAAAAAGAATTACCATCTGAAAGGTACACAGAATGAGGAACAATACTTGGAACTTATGGCCTTATTGGAGAAATCTTCCCCAAAAGTAAAAATAACCTAAAATACCTAGGGGATTTCATATAAGTACTAGAAAAAAAAAAAAAAAAGAATGAATGAATTCCTCTTTAACCTGGGTATAGGGAAAGGCTTTCTAACTGTGACTCAAAATCCATATGCAATAAAAGTGATAATTTTTACTACATTAAAATAAAAAAATTTAAAACAATTTCTGTTTTTTATGGTTTAAAAACACCATAAACAAAGTCAAAGAACTGAAAAGCTGGAAGAAAAATATTTGTAAATTGAGATGAAAAATGACCAAAACTCAGTAGAAAATGGTGAAAACACATAACAGACAACTAACAACAACAAAAAAAGAAACACGGCCCTTAAATATATGGAAAGTTCGTCAAGTTCATAAAAACACAAATTAAAAATACACTGAGACAGCAACAGATCATCAAAAATTAAGAGATATAACAACACATGCTGTTGGCAAGACTTGGGAAAACAGGCCTTCTCACAGGATGCTGGTGGGAGCACAACCCTCAGAGACGGGACTCCAGCAAGAGCAAACAAAACCACACATGCGTTTGCCTTTGACCCAGCAGTCTCACTTCCAGGAATTTATCCTGAAGATACACCCCCAACAACACATACACACAGGGTTACTCACTGCTCTACTGTAACTGCCAAGTATTGGAATTGACCTAAATGCCTATGTAGAAGCATGTCTCAAACTGTGCTATATCCTGGATTTCCTTGGTGGCGCAGTGGTTAAGAATCCGCCTGCCATTGCAGGGGACACGGGTCCGAGCCCTGGTCCAGGAAGATCCCACATGTCGCAGAGCAACTAGGCCTGTGTGCCACAACTACTGAGCCTGTGCTCTAGAGCCCTCAAGCCACAACTACTGAGTCCGTGTGCCACAACTACTGAAGCCCACGTGCCTAGAGCCCGTGCTCCCCAACAAGAGAAGCCACCGCAATGAGAAGCCTGTGCACTGCAACGAAGAGTAGCTCCCACTCACTGCAACTAAAAGCCCACACTCAGCAACGAAGACCCAATGCAGCCATGAATAAAGAAAGAAAGAAAAGAAAACAAAAGAAACTATGCTACATTCACACAGAGGAGTACTATGAAGATGTTAAGAAGAATGAGGAAGATATGTATGAACCCATGCAGAGGGATTTCTCAGATATGCTGTTCAGTGAAAAGAGCAAAGTGCAAAAAAGAGTATCTGTAATACTCCACCCTTCAAAAAAGGGGAGAAGTACTTCATGAGAAAGCACACACACATCTGATCATTTGTGCAGAAAGAAACAAAGGGAAGAAAAATCAGAATAATAAGATTAGGTATCTACAGGGTGTGGGTAGAAATTGGGTGGAAAGGATAGAGGTAACGGGGGGGGGGCGGTAATACTTCACTGAATGTTCCTTTTTGCACACGTTTGTTTGGAACCACATTAATGTTTCCCATATACTAGAGAGACAGGAAGGAAAAGAAGAAGGGAGGGAGAAAGGGAGGAAGATAATAAATAAAATTCATACGGATGAAGGAAAACCCTAAAAATAAATACTAACAGAAACCAATGAACCAAAATGAAGTTCAAATGACTAACATAACCACACTGAAAAGTGGAGGTTTAAAAATTAACTTTTGAACATAGCATTTGGACTATATGCCCTCAGGCTAAAGACAAAAAGTTCTCTAAACAAATACTGAACTCTAATTTGTAGGGTTCTTTTTTTGCAGAGGCATGGATTGCAATTCTCAAACAGTTCTGTACATTCTAGGATTGAGCAAATGAATACGCATACTGTGGATAACTGGAGACTGGTTTCACACTGTTGAATACGGGAGTTACAAATGGGAAGTGTTGGATTGGACTGGAGATACCTGTGTGAACTCATGGGTTTAATATAGACAGATAGGCAGATAGACAAACAGACACACGGAAAGGGAGGAAAGAATGGAGTAAGACAGAGGAGGGGAGAAGGAAGGAAGGAGTGCAGATCTGCATACAAATGTGTGTACAGGCACACAAGTATATATATCTATTTCCCAATTATGTCCTCTGGGAGGGCATATAAGAGAAACACTGACATCCGAGAACCAATGAGCACATCTAGTACCTGGATACTGATTCCTAAAATCCATTCTCCACCAAAGGGATGAAGTCTCCTTTGATAAATGGCTGATTCTAGGGCTGGGACAGGGAAAAATTATGCTGAGCCTGGAATATCTTTTTATAGCAAAAAGTGGTCGAAGATTGATGGAAACGTGAAAGGGACACTAGAATCAGCTTGAAGTGACTCTCATTTCACTGGCCAAATCAGAAACCCTTTCTTTTTTTTTTTTTTCGGCACGCGGGCCTCTCTCTGTTGTGGCCTCTCCCGCTGCGGAGCACAGGTTCCGGACGCGCAGACTCAGCGGCCATGGCTCACGGGCCCAGCCGCTCTGCGGCATGTGGGATCTTCCCAGACCGGGTCATGAACCCATGTCCCCTGCATCGGCAGGCCGACTCTCAACCACTGCGCCACCAGGGAGGCCCCAGAGACCATTTGAATATCATACTGAATTAAGTAACACTCTCAAAGTCTGCTCTGATACAAATAAATAAAAAAGTCACCACCACATCGTAATAAAAAATTGATTCAGGCAAAAATCATCCATGAGCTCTTTTCCGGTTATCGTGGCGCAAGGGGCCATAAGCAGCAAAGTCTCCCGAGACTCCCTCTACGAGGTGGTGCAGGAAGTCCTGCACGAGAACCAGCACAGACGCCGGAAGTTTTTGGAGACGGTGGAGCTTCAGATCAGCCTGAAGAACTATGACTCTCAGAAGGACAAACGCTTCTCAGGCACCGTCAGGCTTAAGTCCACTCCCTGCCCCAAGTTTTCCGTATGTGTTCTGGGGGACCAGCAGCACTGTGATGAGGCCAAGGCTGTGGATATCCCCCGCGTGGACACCCAGGCCCTGAAGAAACTCAGCAAGAATAAGAAACTGGTCAAGAAGCTGGCCAAGAAGTATGATGCCTTTTTGGCTTCAGAATCTATGATCAAGCAGATCCCACGAATCCTGGGCCCAGGCCTGAATAAGGCTGGCAAGTTCCCTTCCTTGCTGACCCACAATGAGAACGTGGTAGCCAAAGCTGATGAAGTGCAGTCCGCAGTCAAGTTCCCGTCTGGCGGCGGCTGCTGGCCACGTGAAGATGATAGATGATGAGCCTGCGCACAACACCCGCTTAGCTGTCAGCTTCCTGGTGTCACTGCTCAAGAAGAACTGGCAGAACGTTCGGGCTTTGTACATTCAGAGCACCATGAGCAAGCCCCAGCGCCTGTACTAAGGCACAGCTTAATAAACCATACTCCCACCATTTAAAAAAAAAAAAAAATCATCAGTGAATGCTAAACTAGCAAATGAAGTTTGGGGAATAAAAGGATATTAACATAGTCTCAAGGACAGATACTTCCAATTACAAAAGGCAAAAGAGTAACTTCACAATGGAAAACTTGGCAGATACCACCTTAATCAAATAATTAAAGTTAACATTGTCAGTAATGGGACTAAATCGACAGCGTGTACCTCCTGATATGATGCACTGAGAAGAACTCAGCATCACCTCGGTGGTTTTCCCACCACAAGTGCATAACCTGAACGTAATTATAAGAAAATTTCAGACAAACCCAAAATGAGAGGAAATCCTCAAATAACAAGCCTGTGGTTTTCAAAAATGTCAGTTATGAAATACAAAGACTCAAAAATCGTTCAGATTAAAGGAAACTAAAGAAACATGACAATGAAACTCATGATCTTAGATTTTCTTTCACTATGAAGGACATTATTGGAACAACTAACAAAATCTCAGTGAGGTCTGTAGATTACATGATAGCATCATTTGATGTTAATTTCCTGATTTTGATCACTGTACCATGATTATACAAGCAAAAGTACTTAGGGGCAAAAGGGCATCATGTTTGTAACTTACTCTTAACCAGTTTAGAATTGTATGTGTGTGTGTGTGTGTGTGTGTGTGTGTGTGTGTGTGTGTGTGTGTAGTGAGACAGAGAGAGAGAAAAAAAAGGAAGGAGGGAGAGAGAGAGGGAGGGAAAATGTAATAAAATGCTAACATTTGGGGAATCTGGGAGAAGAGTATCCAGGAATTCTGCGTACTATTCTTGCAGCTTTTCTGTCAGTCTGAAATTACGTCAAAATTTTAAAAAAGTTTTTCTTTGAGATATTACTATACACCCACCAAAATGGTGTAATTAAAAAATATATAGAATTAAAAAACACCAGCAAATGCTGGCAAAGATGTGGAGCAACTGGAGCTCTCATTCATTACTGGTAGGAAAATAAAATGGTACAACCACTTCGGAAAAAGGTCTGTTGGTTTGTTAAAAAACTAAACATACACCTACCCTATGACCCAGCAATTTTACTTCCAGGTATTTACCCAAGAGAAATGAAAACATGTTTACAAAAAGATCTGTACAAGAATGTTCATAGCAGCTTCATTCATAGTGACCCAAACAGCCCAGGTATCCATCAATTGGAGAATGAATAAACAGTGGTACACATTTACTATGGAACACTACTCAGTATTCAAAAGTAACAAACTACTGATACATGCAGCAAGGTGAATGAATCTCAGAAATATTACACCAAATCTCAGAAACATCATACCCAGTGAAAGAAGCCTCACACAAAAGAGTACACAGTATATGACTCTGCTTACATGAAGCTCTAGAACAAACAAAACTAATCTATGTTGAAAAAAAATCAGAATAGTGGTTGCCTGTGGAGGGCCGGGGTGGGACTGACTAGGAAGGGGCATGAGAGAACTTTCTGGGGTAATGTAAATGATCTGTATCTTGATAGTGGTATTATACATGGGTTATACATGTGTATACACATGTGTATACACTTGTCAAAACTCAGCAAATGTGACAAGATGTATACATTTCAGTGTATTTGTTGCAGACGTAAAATGTACATCAAAAGAAAAAAATGGTAAACAAAGGATGAATTCTAGGGGACTTCCCTGGCGGTCCAGTGATTAAGACTTTGCCTTCCAATGCAGGGGGTATAGGTTCAATCCCTGGTCGGGGAGCTAAGATCCCACATGCCTCAGGCCGAAAAACCAAAGCACAGAACAGAAGCAATATTGTAACAAATTCAATACAGACCATTTAAAAATGATCCACATCAAAAAAAAAAATCTTTAAAAAAGAATGAATTCTAGTGTATGATACGCATGCTCAAGTGCTCAGGGTACTCAGAGTCTGCAATTTATTTATTTATTTTATTTGTATCTTATTTATTTATTTTTGGCTGTGTTGGGTGTTCGTTGCTGCGCGCGGGCTTTCTCTAGTTGTGGCGAGCGGGGGCTACTCTTCGTTGCAGTGCGCAGGCTTCTCGTTGCGGTGGCTTCTCTTGTTGAGAAGCACGAGCTCTAGGCATGTGGGCTTCAGCAGTTGTGGCACACGGGCTCAGTAGTTGTGGCTCACGGGCTCTAGAGTGCAGGCTCAGTAGTTGTGGCGCACAGGCTTAGTTGCTCCGTGGCATGCGGGATCTTCCTGGACCAGGGCTGAACCCATGTCCTCTGCCTTGGCAGGCAGATTCTTATCCACTGTGCCACCAGAGAAGCCCCTGAAATTTATTTTGATCTGAGTCCAAAAGTATGAGGGATTGATGAATGGATTCTAGAGGGATGGACTGAAGGATAGATGTGCAATGGAACAAACACGTGAAATAGTAATGGAATCTACAGGTTCACTGTAAAATTCTGTTTGTTTTATGTTTGAAGATTTGTGTAAATACAATGCTGGGGGAAAAGACATTTTGGGGACAACTGGGTGAAGCTGAATAAAGACTGGTTCTTAGATAATATTAGGGAATTATTTTTTGTCCATTTTCTTAGGTGTGATAATGGTTAAATCTAAAAGGTGATTTAAAACGTGTTCATTGCCCTTTTCTTTGTCTGAAATGTTTCATAACAAAACTCTGAAGAGAAAAATAAAACGAAACTACCTGGGTCTGAAGTTTCCTGGGGTCACTCCTCCCATCCAGTTGGACACTAGATGCTAGATGAACACAGGTTGAGGCTGGTCTGCCTGATCCCATCATGTCAGAAAGTGTAGTACAATAGTGAAAGCTCAGTCATCAGCCAACAGTTCTCTCCTAAAATCATTGCCTAAAATAAAAGAAAGTACTTTCAGACCAACTGCATTCAAACGAAAGGAAAGAGTAAGTAAAACACAGTGCCATGCTCATATAACAATATCGTAGTAGCCCCCAGCCACCTCATACTACAGAGTGAATGCTTAAGGACAGGTATACAACAGTATCTTCCACTTGCTAAAGCAACTACACTTTTGAAATTCTACCTTCCAAGCAAATAGGGGACACACTAGCTTAATGACTATCTCTTGAGCCCTTTTCATTCCAAATTTCACATCTCAAAGGTCACCGATAAAACGTTATTCCAAAAACAGAGCTCTGCTATGGTAAACAAGCACTTTCCCGCAAGGAAGTTTTACGGATATACAGCCTACGTTAATAAATCCTAACTACTAACCAAAAAGCAGTACACTTCACTCTTCTAGGTAGCTCAAAAGGACATAACTCTGAATGACTCTAAGTAAACCTGTGGCATCGGAGTACCTAGACTGACGCCAGGAACTGCCATTAACTAGCTGAATGACCTCCGTACATCTTCAATTTCCCCCAAACTCCCCCCACCCTATATTCACATACAGTGTCTAACAGATAAGACCGTTTTGTAAACTACACACGCATCAGTGCCTCTCCCTATTCTGAATGCCTCCTTATAGACACTACTGCCCCTGCACTCACACACTTGCTCATGTCGTTATTTACCTATTTCACAGGTATCTGTCTCATCTTCCCAGCTAGACAAGGTTCCTGGAGGGTTAGGGCCTTGTCTTGCTCTTCTCTGAGATTCCCCACAACAGTGCTTTGAGCATAGTGGACAATTTAACTCAACATTTGTCGAATTAAGCAGATTTTCCATAAACTGACTAGTGTTAACTGCATGGGGGAGCTTGCCCTCTCAAAGAATCCCATAGGAACTCAACTGGGAAATTCAGGTTTTTTTAAAGATCCCTAATTTAAGCTTTTGAATAAACTCAAGGATTGTAGACTGGATTTGCTTAAAGACTGACACATCTGTAGAAATATAAAGATTCCTTATTTCTAAGGCTGTAGAGACATGATCAAAAGCGGAGATGGGAGGAAGCACCCGAGTGAGGCAATCCCAACTGGCTTGACATCACCACAGTCCAGGGGCCGGAGCCGCAGAATGAAGGAGCCTGCAGAATTGGGGCCTGGGCATCTGTGGCTTGTACGTGGTCAGTACTTTCCCCCTGGATGCCAAAGGCCTAACAGTCCATTCTCCAACAGGAAGAAACTAGGTGATCCCCACAATTCCAGGATACCTCGAGTGATGCTACACACACACACAAGCACATACACACACAAAGTCCAGGGACACCCACCCCGAACCGTTCCCCTATACAAAGTCCTGGGACACCCCTCTCCTTGCAACCTGTCCCTTTCCCATTGTGCCAGAAAACCTCCCAATGTGCTATCCCATATACGGTGAGGCATCTCCAGGAAGTATCTCTCTCCCCCATCCTGAGACACCCTTACAGCCTGTGCCTTCATCCATAACCCAGGACAAATCTCCCCCCAACCTGTTCCCTCCCAAAGAGCCCCAGGGTCCCCCAACTTGTTCCCTATATATACTACTGGAATGCACCCCTCAATCTGTCCTCCCCCTCACAATTTTCTCCCAAATTGTTCCCCTTCCCTCTGATTCTAGACCCTCCTGCAGCCTGTCTCCTCCCACCCTGCTGTGCATGATCTCTCAAGTGGCCAATGCCTGTCTCCTCCCTTGAAACCGGGGGCACTTCCTCGGCTTCATTCACCTCCCAAGCCGTGCCTGTCCTGGACACCCCTGGCACGTTCTCAGAGTCCGGCTCTTCCCCTGCAGACCTTGGGCAGCTCCATAACCTGGTCCCACGCCCACAGGTGTAAGACACCCCCCCTGGCAGCCCCAGGACACTTCTGCCTCCTGTCTCCCACCCTGGAGCCCCGGGGCCCTCTGTGGACGGCCTCCTCCCCGCCGTGAAGCTGGAGACAGCCATACTGGGATCTTCTCCTGCAGACCCAGTCACCCACACTGCGGCAGGCCGGTGCCCCGCCGTGGGAACTCCTACAGCTGCAAGCACCCCCAAAGACAGAGGTACCCTCACAGCCCCAGGGACAGCTCCATCGGCTCTCCTTCTCCATAGGCCTGCAACGCCTTCAGAGTCAGTCTCCCCGTTCCCAGGTCCTGAAGCCCTGGCAGCAGTGGGCACCTCAGTCGCCTGTCTCCTTCTCCACACCCCTGAGCCACCTCCAGAGCTGGCATCACCCACCAGCGGTCCAGGGGCCCCAGCAGCTGTGGACACCCCTGCGGTCAGAAGTACTCCTGCAGTCTGTCCCCTCCCTGGCAAGCGTGAGAAACCCCCAGGGCCAGTCTCCACCCCCAGGGGACCAGGTACCCGAGAAGCCATGGGCACCTCAGCAGCCACAGGAACCCTAGCACTCTGTCTCCTTCCCCATGATCCTGGGGAAGCCTCACAACCAGTATCCTCTCCCACAGACCACAGCTCCTGGGGAGCCATAGGTACCCCTGAAGCCAAGGGTATCCTGGTAGTACGAACCTCTCCCCACAGGTTCAAGTCATCCCTGGAGCCGCCTTCCTGACACACGGAGCCAGACACCCACACAGCGGCAGGCACCCTGGCAGGTACGCTTCCAGACCCAGACGTACACACAGCTGTGGGCGCCCCTGCTGGGGCACTCCTGTGCTTGGACACACCTGCTGCCTCTGGCGACCCCACTGCCTCAGACAGCCCCGCGGCCTGTCTTCTCATGCAGAAACATGAGGCATCCCCACAGCCAGCCTCCTGATCCACAGACCCGGGTCCCCCTAAAGCTGCAGGCACCGGAGCCTCTTGCCCCCCCAGAGCCCGCCTCCTCTCCCACAAACTCAAGACATTCCCACCGCAGGTCTCCTCCCCAACAGCCCCCGTCACTGCATCAGCCGGGGGCGCTCCCAGAGCCTGCTGCCTAGCCCACAGGCCTGGGACACCACCGCCGATGGTCCATTCTCCCACAGCTCCCGCTACCATCGGAGCCTGGGACACCCTCACAGGCTGTTCCGTTCCCCACAGACCCCAGACACTCCCACAGCCTGTCTCTGGCCCCAGAGCCCTAGGTACTCCCATAGCCTGTCCTATGTCCCACAGGCCTGGAGCGCCCCCAGGACCTGCCTCCTGCTCATCAGGACCAGACACCTCTGCAGGCTGTGCAGCTTCCCGGGACCCGAAGTCGCCCCCAGAGCCTGTCTCCACCCACACAGTCTGCCCCCTCTCCCCGAATCCTGGCTCACCCCGACATCTCGTTCCTGCTCCAGTCGCACAAGGCACCCCTATGGGCTGTCCCGTGCCCCACAGGCCAGGGAGACGCCCGGCGTCTGTCTCCTCCACGGCTTGTCTCCTCCGCCACGCGGCTGGGGCACCCACAGAGGGAGTTTCCTCCCGCGCAGCTCTGGGCACCCCTGCGGTCCGCCCCCTTCCCCCTAAGCCTGGGGTATCCCCACACACAGGCGCCTGCGCTGCCTGCTCCCTCCCCCGCAGACCTGGAGCAGCCCTGCCGCCTGGCTCTCCCTCCACAGCTCTGGGTACCTCCACAGCCTCAGGCCACCCCACAGTGGCCCCGGGAACCCCCCCAGTCGACCCTTTTCCCCAAGAGCCCGGGGCAACCCCATAGCCTATCCCCTCCACGGGCCCAGGCACCGCCACGGCTTGTCTTCTCCCCCGCGGGTGTGGGGCAATCCCAGAACTTGCCTCCAGAGTCCCAGGCACAGCCACAGGTGGCATCCTCACAGCCTGGCCTTGTCCACACAAATCTGAGGCCCTCTCACAGCCTGCCCCTAGGTCCGGAGCTATGGCTACTCCTGCGGCCCGGGGGACTGGCCTGTCCTGTCCTTTCACCCATGGTCCGGTGAGACCACCACAGCTGGTCTCTACCCACGAAGCCCGGCCAGGAACCCCCCTTTCAACCGGCCCTTCTCCTGCAGACACGGGATGGAGCTCGACTCTGCTTCCTTCCCCACATCCTGAAGCTGCCCTCATAGCTTGCACCTTCAACCACAGTTCCAGAATGCTCTCATGCCCCGTAGATCCCGGACGACCTTTTCTCTCACAGCCTCGGGGGCTCCTATAAGCCGTCTCCTCCTCCTCCCCAGTGCCAGTCACCCACACAGAGCCGACAGGCCCCACCACCTGGGGTTCCCCCACTGCCCCGTTCACCCACACAGTCCCAAGGTCCCTTGCTACCTCCATCGAGACTGCCGTGCCAGGTGTCCCCGCAGGCTTGTTCGCCCCGGCGGCCTGGGCTGTCCCCGCTGCAGGTCTCCTCCCCCATGGCCGCCGACAGTCCTGCAGCCTTTCCGCACTCACACAGCGCGTCTCCCGCACCGAGGACCTCGCCCGGCGCCTCCCTCCACGGCCTCGGGACGTCCCTGCACCCCGTCTCTTCTCCCACGGCCGCCGGACTCCGCGCCCGGACCTGCTGGGCCCCACGCAGCGGCCCGGCGTCTTCGCCGCTAGCTCGCCCCTGCGCAGCCCCGGCAAGACCCCTGGGCCAGCCGCCCCACTCATCGCTCCAGGGCGACTCCCGCCTTCCCAACGCAGCCCCGCGGCACTTTCTGTCTCAGCGCCCGCTCCCAGAGAGGCTCCACACACGCACTCACACACTCAGCTCTAGCCCTCTGAGCCTTCCTCCCTCCCAGCCCCCTACCCCCGCCCAGTCCCGGACGCCCGCCCCCCGGTCCCGGGGCCCCACTAAAGCCTCGGCAGGAGAAAAGGTAATTAGGCCCGACGAGCGGCAGGATCTGCGCTGGGTCAAAGTCTCCTCTCCCGCAGATCCATGACTCCTAACGCGGCTTCCCACAATCCCCCCAGCTCTGGCCAGAGCCCACCTGGTCTGGGGCGCGGCGCGCCTACCAGAAAGCGGGCTGGGGGCCGCAACTAGGCCTCCCTTCCGGCCGCTCGCCCAGTCGCCATGGCAACGGGCGCAGGGCGGGTTGGGAGCCGTTAAGGCTCCGGAGCCACCTAAGGGTCCAGGGGCTGCGTGGCGGCAGGTTTTGCAGCCACTGCACATGGGCTGGGGCCGGGACCAGACAGGGGCAAAAGCCGGGGTTTTGGGGTGCAGTCAGCACTGAGAGACCTGAGAAAAGAGAATAGAAAGACGGTGCAGAGGGGTTTTGGCCGTCAGAGGCTCCCGTAGCACCTCAGAGCCGGGCTTGCTTTCTCAGGCCCTGCCCAGCTCCCCGCCCACCCGGAAACAGCTTCGCCCCACCTCGCATGGAGCTCCTCCCAGCGGCCCAAGACACCTCTAGCTGCCCGAGGCACGCTCTCCCGATGGCCCGCTACGAAGAGGTGAGCGTGTACGGCTACGAGGAGTTCATGCAGGCGGTGGAGCAGCACAGTGGCAAGACCATTTTCGCCTATTTTTCTGGTTCTAAGGACGCCGAAGGCAAAAGCTGGTGCCCCGACTGCGTGCAGGGTGAGGCCGGGATTCGGGGGCTGCAGCCCAGAGTAAGTGGCAGGAAGGCCGAGGCTATGGCCAGAGTGGGGTGGAGAGGAAGCGGAGGGAGTCTTGCTACCGGAGTCCCGCAGGGCGATCTGAGCTCTCACCTTGCCTTTTCCTACCCTGTTCCCGACTCTCCTCCTATTAAGTCCTTCCCGCCCCGCCAAGTGTGCTCTTCTACCATTCGACCCCGGTAATCTTGGAATCTAGTCCATTAGAACTTTTCACTTCCCCAATTAGTGATTAGTGTCTTACAGGAGACGTGAATTGGTCTCCTTATGGTTAAGTCAGCAAATATTTGTCTTTCATTGTTCTGGGCGCTGTGGCCTGGGGACAAATCAGGACTGAAAGTGGGTCCTTACCCTTAAAGTGGCTCTCAAAAAAATCAGAAAAAAACACGTGACTTCCGTTTATCTCCTCAGTTAACTGCAGGATAAAGTCTGAGTACTTACCAAGACGGAGGGGAGGGGAGGGGAGGGGAGAGGGACGCTGTTCATCAGTGCCTGATTGTAAAGTTGGTAATTATTTCTATCAACTTTTTAAAAAGCTGAACCGGTCGTACGAGAGGGGCTGAAGCATGTTGGTGAAGGATGTGTGTTCATCTACTGCCAAGTAGGAGAAAAACCTTAGTAAGTGGCAATGCGTACTCTATTTCCCAGACATGCACTAGACTCTTGCAAATTTAGGCGGGAAGGGTCTTGTGATTCAGGTTCTGAGTTCTAAGATACAGTCGGATAAGTCAAGCAATTAGAATATATTAAATACGAATTAAAAATTCGAATGTTCAGCCATTTGTATTAGGTAAGGGTAATTCAATAATTTGGCCTGATGTTAGTTCAGAACTTGTCTTTACATTTATTTTATATCTTAGTATATATTCACTTAAATGAAAACTTTGCACAGGAGAATATATGTTGTAGACGTCAAGGTTTTTAAAATGTTTACAACAAAAACAATGATTACTGAAAGACTGAAAGTGGGAATATATCAAATACAAAGCAGAATGTAAGAAACCAAGTAAATGTTTTTCATGATCACTTTCTCCTTCTGAAATAGTTGGAAAGAGCCAAATAATGACTTCAGGAAAAAGTTGAAATTAACTGCAGTGCCTACACTACTTAAATATGGAACAGTGAGTATCTTTCTTTAACTGTGTTGGGGATACAGTTCACCCTATCAAAACTCTTTTAACTTGTTCTGGATTCAAATTTGAAAAGATCTTGACATTTCATCCCAAATATCACATTGCTCTTCAGAATGTATTCAAAATACACATGGCTGTCCATCCCTGTGGCCTATCCCAATAAGTTATTAATAATGCAAATATTAGGGGTTTTATCATGCCTTTTTTTTTTGTTGTGGCCTCTCCCGTTGTGGAGCACAGGGTCCAGACGCACAGGCTCAGGGGCCATAGCTCACGGGCCCAGCTGCTCCGCGGCATGTGGGATCTTCCCAGACCAGGGCACGAACCCGTGTCCCCTGCATCGGCAGGCGGACTCTCAACCACTGCGCCACCAGGGAAGCCCTTTCATGCCTTTTATTTTTTTATTTATTTTTTAATTAATTAAATTTATTTTTGGCTGCATTGGGTCTTCGTCGCTGTGTGCAGGCTTTCTCTAGTTGCCGCGAGCGGGGGCTACTCTTCGTTGCAGTGCGCAGGCTTCTCACTGCGGTGGCTTCTCATTGTGGAGCACAAGCTCTTGGCACGCGGGCTCAGTAGTTGTGGCGCACAGGCTCAGTAGTTGTGGCGCACAGGCTTAGTTGCTCCGTGGCACGTGGGATCTTCCCGGGCCAGGGCTCGAACCCGTATCCCCTGCATTGGCAGGTGGATTCTTAACCACTGCGCCACCAGGGAAGCCCCTTTTCATGCCTTTTAAAAGCCATCCTTATTTTAAAATTCTGTAAGCACTGTTGAAGAAAGTTGGTTAACATACAATTCCTTAAAACAGTGGCATCAATAGTTGTTTTCGACTTAATCCATAATTCTGGATGAAAAGAAAGGGCATGTCCTCTAATTTAATCATGGCCCTGGGATTCTAAATTAAAGAGTTAAAGGGAAGGGGTGACATCGGGCTTCCTGTCTCCTGTTTTAGTCCACGGAGCCAAGTATTTTAATGATTCACCTTAAGGTAAATATCTTAACTATTTCATAAAGCTTGTTACAACTAGTTAATAGTTTCTGAATAGCATAATTTCTCTGTTCCGAGACTTGTGTCATTCAAGGTAGAACAACTCATTCCCCTCCTAATAACATTTTTGTAGCTGTGGGTTAAGATATGACTGTTGTTCTCTTACAGCCTCAAAAACTGGTAGAATCTGAGTGTCTTCAGGCCAACCTCGTGGAGATGTTGTTCTCTGAAGATTAAGATTTGATGATGGCAATTGTGTCTTTATTTCCTGATTTGCTCTAGTATAAAAGAATGTGCATACTTGCTTTGAATTCATGTTAGCAATAAGTAAATAAATGATGATGTAAAAAAATTGGTACATGTCTAAACAATAGAGAGTGCTATTAAAATGCTCATGAACCCTCAGTTTGCTTTAATATATGGGTATATTTAAGCTACCATAGGTAAAATAATTCTTCAGGAGTGGCAGTAATAGCACAAAGGAAGCTATTATTGGAGATGACAGAAATACCTAAAAGCCCCTAATAGTGCAGTAGACAGCTTCCAAATCTCTAAAGGAGTTAGGATCTTTTACCTTAAATTCCACGAATTTACAAAGGGCTGTTATTCCTAAAACTCCTTCTTTGGCTTCAGAATGTAGAACTTAACCTAACCACTGAAGGGAAGCACAGCACATCTAATCCAGCCTCTGCTTAATGCTGGCAGGTTTGTTACAGCTGTCTGAATATGCTTCACTACTTGGGATGAGGCGGGTGGCAGAGAGGTCAGAGACCATATAACCTAGTGATGGGAAGGACTCCAGCCTGTGAGTCAGTCTAGTGATGGTAAGGACTCCAGCCTGTGAGTCAGTCTCATTGATTATCACTTACTAGCTGTGTAACCATTAACCTGTCTAAACCTCAGTTTCCTCCTTTATGAACATGGATCGTTCCAAGGATAATGCAACTAAGCACTTAACATTGTGCCTGGTTTGTGGTATCTGCCAAATAAAGGTCGGCTTTCCCAAATGAGCACAAATATTTGAGGCTCCTCACCTTTGTTCTAGTCTTAAGGCCAAGAGTCCAATTAGTAGTTAACCACCAATCTTCTCCCTGCCATTACCAGGTCAGTGACATACCAATGATTCTTCCTTAAAGCTCTCTTGCAAAGCAACTGGCGATACAGGTATGTCTCCTGCCCTGCAGAATTTAAGAACCTTTATGCGGTTCCTGCTGCCTGACGTAAAGAGGTCACTTACTGCACACCTCTCACTCTGTAGATGAAGGGCAGGATAGCTGATCTGAGGGACAGCAAGGTTCCAGGAGACAGACTTGTCCCAGGCCCCACTGTACATGAAAACAAAGCTCGGCTTAGAGTTTGGGATATTCAGTGGCCCTCCCCTTACCTCGCCCCCTGCTGCCTTAAATTGGTCTGAAACACCTAACATTTCTATTCTTACTCAGCTGACTGTGTTAAATACTAATAAAAGCTTACAAAGCCACAGGGAAATCAAAGTAAAACAATTCTGGTTTAACAGAAATAATCTATTAACAAGAAAAAGTTAGTTCAATTAAATAGCACACTAACGGTTTTAGGTGCTAACCACAGTAAAGGTACATAGGAAGAGTCTTTTTTTGTCTTCACTGTACAAAAGCAATATATACATGTCTTAAGAGCCTGGTCTGGATCCAACTGTTCATTTTCCCGCTGTGTTATTTTGCTGTTGCTGCTCCGCCAGGGCTTGCTGAAGGCGCATCCGCTTCCGAGAATAGTGCTGCCAGTGCAGAATTTGCTGCTCATCAATAAATTTCGCACACTGAGCATTCACCAGCTCCTTACGGAAGTGTTCGTATTGGAGCAGTTCTAACATGTGTAAACACTGAGGGTACCTGGAGTTAAGTTTATAAGTTAATGAGCGACATAACGTAATAATACCACGCTCTAGTTCAGTTACTCACCTAAACACGATCTTGCAGCCTACCATTTCTGTAACATTAATTTAGTATACTTTGGTAGTACAGTTCTTTTTTTTCCTGCTTATGCATCAAAAGTCAGC